CCGCCGACACCGAGTCGCGGCGCGGCGGCAGCACGCGCGGCGCGCCGCCCGACGGGAAGGCGGCGATGGACTCGCGCCGCCCGCGCCCGAACAGGATGGACGACGGCGGCGCGCGCGAGATGGTCACCTGCGCACGCGCACGCGCGCCCGAGCCCCCGTCACCACCGCTTTCAACACGGCAATTTTTATTTCAAACAACGGACCAAATTATTATCACAGTAATCAATAGCGTACTATGGGCGATATAAAGGATCTAACACCGGGAGAGGTGGCTGAGGGAATCAACTGATGTCACTGCAGTACCTCCGAACGGGAGGACCTAGGCTCGAGTCCCGAGGTTGGCAGGATTTTCGACACTAGTCAGATAGCTAGGTCGAGGTCTGACGCTGTCTGGAAGATAATTCTGGCGGCCGGCTGTTCTGATCGGTAGTTTTTCGTGCTTCCCTCAATGAATACCAGGCGAATGCAATACCCTAACAAACGGGTCACGGACAGCGCACGATCTTCCCTTCCCACTATTTTTCCTATCCTAACGCTTACACACTTTTACACTTACACGCACTACACTACCACTTATGCCAGAAGACTGATCGGGAACTTAGAGCTTATCCTGGCTGGGGCGGTGCCCCGCTGGTGGGAGATATCCGGTTGGGGAAAACCACGCTAGCCGACGGTAGGTCGGCGCCGGTTCTCGCCATCCAGCCAGGCAAGATCACCGCCACCTCCCGAGAAAAACATGTACTACATTTACGGGACTAATAACCGTAGCCATTGACGCGACCGGAATCACTAGTAATCAATCAATCACAAGGGATCTAATAATCGAGCTGCGACAAAAAGTCTCAGGGTTGCTCAAGGTCATTAGATCCAGTTAACGCCAATAATACATAACCGATTTTATTTTTTAACAAATTGTATTTATTCAAATTGACTTATTTACTAGTTAACTAGATGTTAACTTGACTCGGTTTGTTTTTTCCTATTTCCCTTCCTTAATTCCCGCCATAAGTAAACATGTAGCACCATTCAACTCATTTTATATTTCCTTTGTAACTACGATCCTCGCGATCCAGATAAGTTACGCAGTGTTTATCGACCTTGGTATCGATGGCAATAATAACCATAACGTACGAGTACAAAAAATATATTTTTAAACATTTTTGTTGCTTCTCTTCCCCTATTCTTGTTCTTCTCCTTCCCCCTTACTTTAATCTTCTTTCAATCAGATGGGTCGTTCAAATACAAGAGAACGCTTATATGCTACATAAATGTAACTTTTCAAAGTGCATTTGTTGCATGCCCCAGCATATTATAAATGTTAACATCTAATGTTCAAACCAATAGAAGTAAAAATTGACGTGTATTTTCCCATAACAAAACTATTTTGCCCACTGTACTATTATTTATGAAATGAATAATGCTATTCCAAATTCACATAAAACAACCACACTAAAATAATTCGCATACTTTCTTTCACGACGCTATTAGCCAATTTTAAAAGCCTCTTAAAAAGGACGGGTTTATCTCGATTATCTTAATTAAAAACAGTATTCGAAATGTTTTGACCAAAGTATACTCCACATTGACTTGTTGGCCTCAAACTATATCATCTCTATTGAATTCCTTTCACGTTAAAGATTAAGGTTCACGCATCATCACTGACACCCAACACAAATTTAATACTTAAACCTCTTAAACCGGCGATTTTTCGCCTTTTGTATATTATTTTAACGTGACCTGTTTATTACTTTTAACTAAAATAATAATTTTTCAAAACATAATACATTGCAGTGTTGATGGTGTCTTGTATCCTCTTGGAAGACACCTGTCGTCTGAAAATAAAGTCACTCGTCTTTAACGAAGGCCAATTCGCCGTAGGTAACATGAGTGCGAAAGCAGCAGGGTTCTGTTCCGGTGAGTCATCAGATCTGTTTCTCCGTTTAAATGCCTGATTCAAGTACAAACAAGCCTTCAACAGATATACGAACGTGCAATTTTAGTTTCTCCCGCGAAACAAAAAAATCGCTGAAGACATTAAGTATTTGCTGACCTCGAGTTGAACAAGGTGAACACGAATCATCTGGTACATCCAGTGATCTCTCACAGTTTTCGTAGCTCTGTGAAATCATTTCGTGAAGATAATTGACATTTCTCGCACGACGTACAATGTTTGACAGAAGGTGGCAAAGATCATGTTTGTTTTCTTCAGGAAGCATGTTGCACTGTTGCTGTCAGTATTCAACTATGTTTAGAGAGAGAGAGAGAGAACGGGGGGTATTTCGCAGCTAAAAGTAACACCAGCCTTGCTCATGAACAAATTATGTGCGGAAATTGATTTGTGAAGCTTTACAAAATGACTATATTTTACATTTACCTAATTGCAATTTTATCATAATATTTTTCCGAATATTTTAATTTCTGGAGCGTTTGGTCACAGGAAAAGAAGAGAAGACTGCATATTCATTTCGTTCCTTTGTGAGTTCGCTGGAGTCATTCTTGTACATTATCAAACAGAGGGAGTCATGTTCGTTGAATGTGGTTTCCTTGCATTTATGTTGCGGAAAATACACCATGCGATCGTAAACCACAAATTGCTCCTGCTGATATGACAACAAAACTATGCAGGTCAGGTCTCCTATGCCTCACGCTACACCGACCAGAAGTATTGTCATTTTGCGCAAGAGATTAGTAATAATACTAATACTAATACTAATACTAATAATAATAATAATAATAATAATAATAATAATAATAATAATAATAAAAGGGTAGAAAATTCCGTGCTCCGATCCATTGAAGTCAGTGAATTTGTCGCACTCAATTCAATTTTAAACTCTTTAAACGAATCTAGTTGCCTTAGAGAGTTTCTGTCAGGAGATATTTGTAAGGGGAAATGCTTAATTAAGGTGTTATCTGCGTTTATGAGGAAAAGGGAACGTGAGACCCGTGGTAGCGCCACACAAGCAAACTGTACTACGATATATTTTAAAAAATCATATTTGAACCATCAGCTAGTTATCTTAGTTCGTCGCTGTTTATATCACTGGGAATCTCCGTTACACAATTTTTTGCGCGGAAAAATTAATTCTACTAGCCAAAATTTATTCTGTCGTTCATTAGAATGGATGTGCATTTATTGAACCTATTATGGATCACGATACGATGCCTGTTACGATAGTGCTTGAAGAGATGCGATATCTGTTACATTGGCTTGGGTGAGGCGAAGGGTATACTCTCTCCCAGTATATTTAATTCCTTACAAGGTAAATGAGGGTCTAAAGGAATTAATATCGCCCTTTTTCAGTAATTTAGCTGGTGAAGTCAATGAAAACCAAGAGACAATTAAGTAGTATAAAGTATATTGATCCACATTGATTATTGAAAGTGAAACTTTATGAACATTAGATCAGCTTCTTAATAAGTTTTCCAACACAAATGTCCTTATAATGATTGGCCTCATGTATGGTAGATTAGTGCATGAAAGTGTGTGTTTGTAAGGGGAGAGCAGGGGACAAGGATGGAGAAGTGTTAGTTCGTAAAACTAATTATTGTATTTTGTAATACATAACTTAAACATTTTAATGTTCAAATATTAAAAATGTATTTTTATTATATATAACTTTTACAAAGTATGTAGTTTTGTGATAAGTTTCGCTCCAACGCGTAACTTAGAAAACTTTGACCACTTCAATAAGAGGTAGAATCACGGGAGGAATGCACACTTATTTTAAAACACAAGTATGCCACAATTCGTCTATCCTTCCTGTAAAAATTAAAAGCCACTTGAATTCCATAGCTGACGTCCTAACATGGTATGGTGACTTAATTGTCACCGAACTGCGGATTGGGTCGTCGGTATTGCAATGATTCTTCTGTTCCTCTAAACTAAATACTGGGTCATGACTGCGAGGAACATGTTGCAGTAGGCGGTATAATTAATAATTTCTCCCCCTCCTCGCATGGGCGTGATTCTCCTCTAGCTGCATTTACAAAATCAGGAGGTTCGGTTCGCCTGGATGAAAAGATAAGGCGGTACAGGGATGTTATTAATTATGTCTCCCTTTTATCGTTCATTTAGAAGTCACTTCTGCGAAATAATCCTCTGCCCTACCCCTGATAAAACAAGTCTGTTCCCCACGAAGGACTGCATGTCTCAGTACGGCGCATTATAAAAGTCACATATCTCGACATTGCGTAGCCAGTACAGTCCTACACTGACATTCGAACCGCCATACATGGAGGAGACGAAATTGAGAGAAAGCGATATTATTGAAGTCACCATATTGCGACACAGTATCGTTGGGATGTCCTCACGCCGAGAAGAGACCTGGAATACCGGGAGGAGACCAGGCGATGCCATTCACTCCGTCTCCATTCCCTGACGCTGGTCCGACTTTTGTCGTTCCTCAGATACGCCCTTACTCTCCCGCCAATTAAAATAAGTAGGGATGCGCGTCATATCCTAACTTTCCCTAGCGTCGCTAGTTATTACTCAATAACTACTTTTAAAGAGCATGATATCAATTAAAGATATAAAATTGAGTGTAAATTAACCGGGAAAGAAATATCTGACTTTAACACTGGATAAGTAGAACAGGTTCGAAAAATAATTTGAAATTTTCAAAATTTCATAGGTTTTAATGAACAACCGAAATATACCATTTTTATTAATGAATTTTCTTTTATTTGGGCAAAAAATGAAACAAATATGCCATTTAACAGAAAATTTTGAAAATGTCACAAGGGCTTCATGTAAACCACCCCCTCTAAATTAAAAGATCTTAGTGATTTCTGGAACGACACAACTAGACTTTCATCCTAACGTATCTACAAAGTTTCAGCTCAAATGCTTCTACTCTGACAGAGGTGCATGACATACGTACATACATGTACATAGATATCCCTTTTTCGGATATAATTTGCGTATATCTCCTCTCCACCTGCATCAATCATAACCATTTTTAACAGTAATAACAGGTCGTAATACTGATATGTGTGCAAACGTGCAGCTGAATATAACATTAAACACTGATTTTACAAACTAAATTCGAGATGGTATTCATAGGGTGATTCCAATACTTTCTTATAGGGAGGAAAAATAAAATCTAAAATATAAAGTGGCAAGGCAGGAACTGTCGGAGAGGTTGTGAGGCGAAAGGCACTACATTGCAACCATGTCAAGGACGGGTGAGGTAACTAGCTTACTAGAGTTCGCGGGCACTGCGTCCAGGGCAACTGGCGCGAGTTAAAAAGTTAGAGTTATACAAATTACTCCGGAGTGGCGATACGTTACTGGATACATTATCCATGACAGTCTCTTGGAGAAGCCAGTTGACAATAATTTTCTAAATAGAACTATATCAATTCCCATTTCCTCTACTAAAGTAAGGAAATGATCAAATAAAAAGAAATAATACATCAATTTGCTTTTTAAATTGTGAAGAGAATGAATTTAAACACTTTGAATGCAACATATCTTCATTTGCAATATTTTTTAATTAAGAACCCACATTGCATGATTTTCATAGGTTCAGGTTAGGAGGATTAACAGATAAAAACTATTGTCTATTAAAAGAGATTTCAGCCCGTATGCGAGAATTATTAATTTATAGACACTTATTTGTTAATTTATTTTACATTATTGCTAAATACATAGTATAACTGAATGATTCAATAAAACGTAACATAAAACGAAAACAAAGAAAAAATTTGTCATTCAAATCCATTCCTGACACTTAGCAAAGGAGTTTATAATAACGAATAATTTAATAAGAAAATGACACGAAATAGTAGTATGTAAAGACGCAAATAAACATAATACAATTCTCGTTTATTTGACAGAACAAATGTGGTAAACATTTATTCGCATGAAGCCACTATTCCCCACCTGGCGCCAGCATCGGTTTGCGCGCGTACACCTCTTTCTGGATTTGGAGAGGAAATGCAAGCGGAGTCAGAGGAAGGAACTCGTAGGATCGGGGGGAGGGGGGGAGTAAAAATCTCCAAAATAAAAGCTGGGCAGGGCCGCAAACGGCCAGGCGGCTCACGTGGGCTGCCCTCGAGAGAAGGCGCATACGTACCACCGAGTGCCTGCGCCCTCCTGGCGCGGGGGTGGGCGCCTGCTGCAGCGTGGCGAGGAAGGCGGCCTCGCGCGCCGCCGCGCCCTCCGTGCCCACGCCGTGCTCCGACAGCCGGCGCACCTGGCTCGCCGTGATGCCCGACGTGCAGGCCGGCGTGGGCAGCGAGCGCTTGCGCATGTCGCGGTACGGCGACAGCAGGCACGGGTTGAGCAGCGGCGAGTCGCAGCCCGGGGGCGACGCCGGCCGGCTGTCTTCGTCGCCGCCGCCGTCGCCGCCGCCCCCGCCGCTCTCGTCGTCCGTGTTGCCGCTCTCCTCCACCACGATCAGCGGCTCCGACGGCGCCTGCGTCGGCAGCGGCGTGTACGACGCGCGCCGCATGGCGGGGGCCGGGCCGGGCCGGGGCGGGGACTCGAAGAGCGCCTGCGAACAGACACGGGGCGCGCCCGTGATAACGCCGGGCCTCGATAGCGCACGCACAGTGCGCCCCAATGGACACACGCACACGCCTGCGGGAGGGACCGATTTTGGTACAAACAGTGCTCACCACAGATCGGTGACGTCCTTGTACACGCATGCATGCGCGTGCACGCAAATGTAGCGTTGCATAAAAATTCGGCTGTAATAGCCTTCATGATATAAGCCCTCACGAAGAAAAACAACGAGGCCCTGCGTACGAAATTGTGTCACCAAACACCAGAATTCGATTTCACAAAAAATAATGAAATGACTGACTTGCAATAAAGTTATCGTTAATGACTATTTTTAAATAGTTTGAAAATAAGCTTTGTGTGTCTTGCAATTCGAACATCCAAACAATTCTTCTCTCCTAAACTAATATTATAACATAATATATTGTAATATACAATTTCATGGTCTCTGCCCAATAGTGCGTTGGTGAGTTGTTGAGTTGTCGAGTTGTTGAACTGCTTCTTCTCTGTAACAAACTTCGCACACGCGCCTGAAAAACGAAAACGCTATTGTCACGAATAAGATTGTAATTCATTGATTATTTATTTTCGGACGCGTTAAGTGCTATGATCATTATATCGTGCGTGTGGTGCATGCTTTCTTCCCCTGTGGGTGGCTATATTTCCTCCCGCTGGAAGGTTGGGATCCGGTGCCGACCGACACATCTGCTTGCGAGATTTTTCGATTCAGGTATCTCCCATCAACAGGGACAAGCTCTAAGCTCCCAACTGGACTTCCGTCTTGAGTGGTTCTGTAGTGCATACACGTGTAAGTGTGTGGAAGTAAAGGAGATGGATTGAGAAGGAAGTGGACGGAATGATAGTACGCGGACCATGGCTCGTTTGTTAGGGTACCTACTGCGCCGGATTTCGCCTGGTGTCGGAGAAACCACGGAAAACTATCGATCACAGCAGCCGAAAGCTAGAATTCTCCTCCAGAAAGTGGCTGAATTCGATCAAGCTTTCTAGCCAGTGCCGAAAATCCTGTCACCGTCACGACTCGAACCCTAGGAGATCCCGGTCAGGGTTACTGTAGTGATGTAAGTTGATGCCCTGAGCCACTTCAGCTGGTGTCACGAAATGAAACGTGCACCACATCAGTTCCGCCGCACATTGAAATACGGAAGCCCTCGTTTCCGCAGGTTCCTGTCTGTGGATCTTCGCTTTCGTTCTCCGACCTCGCAGAGGCGGGAATCATTTTATAAGTGATTAGACCCCAAATAATTATACAAGGGATAAGACTCCAAAATAATTGCAATTTAATATTTTATTGAAAGGAACATGGTTGAGCTGCACATAATTGGAAGCGTTTTTTGCTGCCTAATCAAATTCAAGGCTTACTATGCAGAAAGTCTTGTCACCCTGAACATAAACTAGAAGAGCTACAAAAGCACATATTTGCTTGCATTATTTGTAACTTTTGTAATTTTCGACCATTCAGAGAGTTCAACGAACATAGAACCTGCACCAGTTTTATATCCTTAGTCCGCACTAATCGAGAAAAAAATGAAGGAAAAAAAAAGTGAAGAATTTATTTAGCCACACGCTGGTAGCGTCACAGTAAGGGGGGTTGATGCAACTTTCTCCAGCCCTTGAATTTACCTGAACCACGATCAATTATTTTCTTCAAAACAATTTTTTTAAATTTAAAAATGTATTCATTTCTAATTCAAATTAATTGCTGTAAGTTATTCTGTTGCAGTGGAGAAATGAATTCTGTTTTATGGTACGGGGGGGGGGGTCTGGAATTTTGTCGAATACGGGATGGTTCCTTATTTCTCCTGTGGAGCTCCTATTATAAGCATGCCTTTTGTTTTCACTGGGCGCCACTGCTGCGTTTAGGACCTTTATTCATCATTGAACGTAACATAGTATAAGAACGAAGGTAGAAACTCAGGAGTTGAAGAAAACATGCTCAAATTGCTCCTCTCGCCTTCTGGTCATACACTGGTAATACATATCCTGTGTAATAAGTTTATATATATGGAAACTCATTATACAGTACAGAAATAACCAATAACTTCAACAGGAATAACGAGTGGTTAATGGCAGTCATTCGAAGACGTGCATCGTGATAAGCAATCATTAAATTTAATAGAATTGTGTTCGTCGTTCTTACGGTAACGAAAGGATTTGATATCAATATGCCTTTGTGGAATATTCCCAGGACAGAAACGAAGAAGGTACAAACATTTGCAAGGACTGTTGATAGTTGATGAAAAAAATGCTTGTTAAATTAGGTTCAGACATGCTTCATTGCTGTGGATCATCTAGCTCAGCACATGCTATCATCCTCTGAATATACGTGGGTACAGTGCGGCTCCAGCCTACTTGTTAGAGCTATTTTTAACCTCCCACTCGCTCTCCGATAACCAGGGAATGCAGCTGTTTCACTCATGTGTCAATTACTGCACACATGGCTTAGGGACACGCTTTCCGAAGCCCATTAAGTGATTTCTCACTTTACCCAATTAGAATTTCACTTGCTTACATTCCATATCTTACGACTTTGGAGTTGTAAATTGCCAGCATGCAAATTTCGTGACTCATTTGCGATTTCGTTTTCGAATGATAAAACTTGATTATTAGTTTTACATGGTGCTTATTTTTGGTCTTACATACTTTCGCTCCCAATACGGAATTCTTAAATTAAATCTATATTATTATTTCACGTCAAAGTAAATTCTATAGTTTTAATGTAGTTTTCCGTCTAATATTAAAAAGCACATTAATGCGATTTTTAGAATAGCGAAAGGGAAAGTAGAACTGCCATGGAAAGAGAATTTCAAAGAAAATAATGTAAGGAAATAGAAGAGTGAAACAAGGTGGGAAGAAGGTAGCGAGATGGATGAGAAAGAAGAGAGACCCGTGTAAAAGAGGCGAGCAAGAGAAGCAAGAAAGAGATCTTACACAAAGGAAGAAGTAAAAGTGGAATATTTCCTATTTCCACTAAGTTTCCTTTTACGAAGTAAACTTTCACTTACGAAGTGTTATCTCGGGACGAAATGTATGTTATGTCAAAGGTAAAATATGCAGAAGATAGTTATACAATTTTTCCTGTTCATTCAATAGTATTTTAAATAACTTCGGAGTCGATAAAAACATGTAATCAGGGCAAGAGTTTGCGTAAAATTAACGGAAAATGCATCCCCTTCTCAATTCCAGACTAGATTTTTGCCATTGCGCCACCGGCAACATTTAAACCCATCCGAAAACATTTTGTTTCGCACTTTTTTCATAATGCCTGCCTTCTAGTGATTAATTGATATCTTTAATTGATATCAGCAAGTTTGTTTTTTATTGTTTTTGACCATTGATCAATAATTCTTCTAACAATTATTGATACATTTTACGTGCATATGGAGGCACAATTGGAGTTTCTAAAAAAATATCTATTTTTGTCTCATAATTATTAAAAGCAATGCAATTATTGCCTACTTACGGAATACTATATTTGCTTTTTTTTGGCCTTTAAATTCGCATGACTGTTTGTCGTATTTTGCCTATTTTTGCACTGAATTGAGCTGGAAATATGCCTGCATACCTGCACAACAAGAGGCACGGTCGTGTTTTGTCTTTCTATGGAAACGGAGACGTTTCTTTGCTTTTCTCCCCCTGGCACTGATCTCGATCAAGCTGAAAACATACCTGCATGCCTGCACAACTCGAAGACAAGGTCTTTTTTTGTCTTTCTGTGGAAATGGAGGCTCCAGGGACAAGTAGTCATAAAAATCTAAATGAAAATGTACAATGATACCAATCAAAATTGTTTAATGTTTTCATTGAGGCTTTGTTCTCTCACGAGGAATCCCATTTTATTTTTGAGTATAGTTTCCGATCCGATTTTAGAGCAGAGTTCTCTGGTTATGACATACCCTTCTCAGTGCTGATGATTACACAAGTGCGAAAAAATTAAATTATAATTCCATTTTCACAAATGCAATATCAAAATTCAAAAGAGAGTCCAACAATAGCGTCAGCGTTGGGAGTAAAAATTTCGTAGTCATCATGTAGGATGGTCATGTGGAATCAAGATTACAAGAAAATATAGTTTCCTTACACGTATGTGGTAATGTAAATTTTAAAAATGAGAATAATTTGAATTATTAATTTTTTACAATAATTGCTTTTAAATGAGATTTTTCATTGCTTACATGCATTCTTACGCCCTGCTTTAGCCAGAATAAATGTCTTTTGGTATGCGCATTTTAATGAACGTAAATGTCTTTTTATTTTAGGTAAAATAAATGACAGAATTTCGGGGCTTTAAATATAATAACTACAGGTCATAAATCTAAAGATGTTTTCAAAATCGTAAAACTCGCATATCAGTTCACTTGGAGAAAATATAATTATTTAGCAATACATGTATTAAAACTCATAAAACCTTGTGAATAATCGAAATTCCAATACTTTACTAACGCTCTTGAATCGGCTTTTTAAACTGTGTTCATAGGACGTTGAAGATAGACAACCTCCTATTTGAGGTAATTGGTGATTGTTACATTTCGGTATGAATGATTCCGAATTTGCTTGTTCTTATTTTGATAAGAAAATTTACAAAGAACATTAGTCATTGTGGTCTTAAAACAGAAAATAAAAAAAAACTCCCCTGTGAATATTTTGCGTTAATTATACCGAGCAATTTTCTTATATTTTTGGTGGAATGCAATATAAGGCTGAACTTCAAAAATGCAGTCACTGTTGCACAGAAAACGGAAACCCAAATGAGCGATGAAGATCACAGACAGTTACCATCTGACGTGCTGGGACAGCAGGAGGCGCGTGCTGCGCGGAGCGGGACCGCAGGTGGGACATCCTGACCTGGGCCAAGCCGCCTCCCGACGCTCCGCGCTGAGGCGCACGCACATGCCGGAAGGAAGGGAAGGAAGGGAAGTGAGGGGGGGGCAGGCAACGGCTGCACGCAGTGTGCATCGCCGGCGCACCTGGCCACGCGGCAGGTAGCAAGCAGGCGCATTCGCCGGGCCGGGGGCTGGGTGAGGGGCTTTGTCTGATGGGATACGCCCCAAAGGCCAACTAGAGAGAGAGAGCTCTCAGGGAACGACTCATTTTGTGTCTATCTCTCCCTCTCTCATTCACTCTTACACTATCACTCTCTCTCACTGTCCCTCACTCTCTCTCACTGTCCCTCATTCTCCCTCACTCTCT